TGACGTCTGTTGAACCGATTTGCCCATATCGTGGGTTCAGCTGCGAGAGACAGAGAGAGGGAGAGAGAGAAGTAAGAACGTGCGAGCGAGGAAAAAAGGGAGCAGGATTTACGTCGGGAGTAAAAGAAATGAAACTGCGAAAGTGCAATGGCACTTACGACTCTCTTCGGGTTACCTCGTGAGAGCTGACTGATGCGCACCAGTAGCGCGAGATTCGTAGCGTTTGTCTGAAAAGATTCGTTTAGGATTAGCCGCGACGGGAAACTCGGATCGCGTTCGAAATGTGTCGAAACGTGGACTGTAGATCGCGTAATATGTTTCGTGTTATAGCCTCCAAAAAAGGGATTTTTTTCCTATTTCATTTCTACAACCTCCTCTGCCGGATTAGTTGATCATTATTTCTCGGAAGATCATTTCGTTTAATTTCAGAATTAATAGTAAACAAAGTTAAATAAAAAAATAAAATGAGCCAATGTTAAATAACAAAAATGACACGATACGAGTCACGATTATTGACCAAAAGTTACATCTACAGCGTTTTGCGCTTTATGAATTTTACAACTCGGCGGCATCATTTAATTTAGCGGCCCTCCTCGGTCGGTCAACACCGCGATTTATGCAGATGGAAATGATAGACCGCCAGCGAGCCATTATTGAGGAATTTTCGCGTGTTTCCGTCTCGATCGGCAGAAAATCATTATTTTATCGTCGATGAAGCATTATCTTCCGGCAATCGGGGTAATAATTGTCCACTGTAGCCGACTCGGCCGGCCGAAGATATCCCATTGTTCGAAGGATCCTGGCCCGAGATACCAGATATTTTTCATCGTCCTGTATCTTCGTAACGTTCGCGTATTGCGACCACCCCGTGGTATCTCGCATGAGGTCTCTGGAGCACACTTAGGCCTCGTGCACACTGAAAAATGCAACTCTACTTCCCGTTGATCGATCGTACTAAATGCAACTGTAATCAGACTGAGAGAAGTTTTGCTAATTTAATGAAATATCAACAACAAACGGCTCGTTGTTATCACGGGAGCTCGTAAGGAGGACAAATGATTTGTTACTTGCAATTTGCTACTCTAAGCAACACTTCTATAATGGAGACACGACTAATCTAATCTAAATAGACGAGAACAATTTATATTTCAGGCAATGTATATTCGCTAAAATAACAAATGATTAGGAATGATTTGCAACTGTCGATCATCGGACGGTAAACGTGCTTTTGTTCCGATAACCGGGAGATTTTTCTCGGTGCAGTTTCGCGACGACTATCGCGAACTTGGAATTTGTTATTTTTTAATAGAAAAATCAATCACGCGTCACTCATATGATTTACTTACTCTTTCATTTACTTAACCTTTTGAGTGATATGCTTTTAAAAAAATTCGTGAAACATTAATTGCTTTTTGATTCGGTTAACTCTAGAACTCTAAATATAGGTAAAATTTACCTAGATCAAATGTTACTGTTCTTATAAACATATATTTTATTTTTTCGTTATAATTTATTTCCAATTTCATTGTATCGCATAGACATTAATAAATTCTTCGATGTTTCCTACATTGATTAAAAAAAATAATTGAATTTTCGTCATTTTTCCGGAAGTTATGAGCAAATAAGCTGTGAAATTTACCCATGTTTAGAGGATTAACATTTTATATATTATGTAACATTTTTATATTTAAGGTTCTAGGGGTAAATTTTTTCTTATAATTCGCGGCAAATACAAACTTTTGTATTTGAAAATTAGATATATTTTGTATTCTGATTTTCATAATTCTTCAAAGAAAACAGCAGTAAGAAGAAAAGAAGTCTGGATATGTTGGTTAAAAAAAGAAAAATCCGTCCTGCACTGAGGAAAAAATGTTTGAAAATTTATTTGTGAGAAAATTTATTCGCAAAAATAAGCTTTATATCCCACAAACAAAATTTGCAAATATTTTAAAGTATTTTTTTGTTTATTGTAAAGGGAATCGCACAATCATTTTAAATTACTACTGAAGAGATTAAGAAAGTGCGGGAGAATTAATTCAGATTACATTTTCTCGACACTTTCAGTTTACTCGGATAATTGGGTCGCTCTTGTAAACAATTAATTCTTCAATTTTATCATATCTCACTATAAAAAAATAAAAAAGCTTAAGTCACAGCGTTCTGAAAGCGTGTTTTGGTTACCTCCGCGGCAGAGCGATACGTGAGATCGCGTTCGACGAGCGTCCGACGGTAGAAACGACGTAATTACGATCGGAGCGATCGTGCCGACTATTATCTATCGCGCGTACTTATACATACACACACAGAGCATACGATGCAGTTCTCGCAAAGGTTACCACACGCCATCGCGGCTCGTATTGTAACCTTTGCGAGGCTCTGTCGCAATCCCTTACAATACGCGCGTTTGCCGCCGTGATCGCGAGCTCGCGAACGAGCGGGCGAGCCTAACGCTTTATCACACGAATTAATAGTGCGCGGCGTTTTTAATAATCCCGCTGATTTATGGAACGCACGCCGCGCACAGTATTACGATCGTGCCCGGTGCGGCGCCTGGCCGTCTCTTATTTTTCTTTTTCTTTTTCTCTCTCGTGCGTCCGCGTGCCTTCGATGCGAATAATAAAGACCGCCGGGTTGCGCGATCCGCTCGTGAGAGCAGGAGTCATCTTCATATCTATTTCTCGATCTTTTATCGTTAACGGCGGCGCCCGGAAAACCGTAATCCCAGCTATACTCTTGCCATGCCCAAACGTCAATTTCTTCTCCATAAAAATCCAAGTACAAGCCCGATCTTCCTTTATTATTCTCTTCTGTGAGATTTGAGATGGTCTCTTTAACGAGGATCCGACAATTTGAGGATAATACATCAAGTATAGTGCAAATGCGATGCGAAAAAAAAAAACGACGAAACGAAAATACGGAAATTCGCGAACGCACACGGGGTATTCGCGATTTTACTCGTCCTCCGTGGAGAGAATCGTCCGCAAAGCACGGTCGTTGTGAGTCGATCTTAACGCGATCGGCGCTTATTGAGAAGCAGCCGCAGCGCAGGGTAGAAGAGGAGCGAAACGGCGGTGCTTGGCAGTGAGGAGGAAAGAAGAGCGGGCGGGCGTCCACCTCCTCTTCAGGGTGCTCTTACCGTGCGTAAATATAGGGCATACCACGTAGCGAGTGCACCGCGGAGGGTGACCCCGATGACCCAAGTGGTACCCGAAGGCAGGCAGCCTCGATGAAGAGGACGAGCGCGCGAAAGGAGCGAGCAGGACGAAGGGAGGTGGACGCGAGGGAGGAACGAATCGTCGAGCCGGCCCAAACGGAGAAAAAAGACAGGTTCGCGAAAGAGGAGGGAGAGGAGGAGGAGAAGGAGGAGGAGGAGGAGGAGGAGGAGGAGGTGGAGGACGAGGAGGAGGAGGTTGGTACCAAACAGCGCTCACTAGCTCACATACTATTGTGTATACTATTGTTCTGGTTGGCTAATATCCAAGATGGCCGACCACCAGTTATACTCGGCTGG